TTGCCTTGTGTTTTCATTGATATTTAAATGCCCAGGGAACTGTTTCTGAAGCTGAGCTTATTTGTGTTTAGTATTGATATAATGCCATTCCAGTAAGTATAAATTGCACAGTAGAGATGAGTTATAACAGCAGGCCTTTGCAATAAAAAGCTTAAAAATAACAAGCAAGTTCCACTTTACTGCATAGACTTACAGGGGCAGATTTTGGCCTAGATGAGACAAAACATAGCTCAGAACAAGTAAATGTACAGGGAGGACTGAAACAGTCCCCAGTCATCTCTCAAATTCATATCTGTTTAGTAGGACACTTCCTGCTCTAGGTTAGTACACAACATAACATGATGCTTGGTCTTTACCTGTAATTTATTTCTAGTGGATGATGGGAAAAGTGAGAGTAGCAGACATTATGCAACCTGACAACACAAATAAACCCCTGAGAAAACCAAAGCTGGAAAACAAACAGCCCATGTACAGCATAAATACAAATACTTCAGAAAAATGAAGGGCTTTTAAGGACAAGGTTTTAATAATCTGAACTCAGATGTAATTTTATTTATTATGGGTTAGAGATTTTTGCAGAAAGTCTCTGGCGTAGTCCATTAATGGCTTTGGAGGAAGCAGACTGGTACTAGAGACATCCTAAAGCCAGGCAGCAGAAGCTCGGGTGATTTATAATTTCATGGCCACAATCCAAATCAGGTTCCATGAATATAAATAACTGGGGGGGGAATTATTGTATTTTATTTAATATTATTTCTAGGTTTTATTAGAAATAATGATCCCTATTAAATGGTAATGAAATTAAAAATGTTTTAAAAACCAGTATCTGCACAAGTTCAGCAATGCTTATGATGATTAATGGTTCAGAAGGATTCCCAAAGTGGCATAGCAGAATTGTCCTGTACAAGGCAGTGGAAAGCGGGACTGCAGAGCTGAAAGCTGCAGGGATACAGCAGCTGAGTCATTCTCTATGTGTGAGGGCTGCAGTTACAGAAAATCCATGTTGCTTTGTTCTTTCAGGTCCCAATTCCCATGTCAAGTCATGTTATGCTCAGGGCAAGATTGGAGAGTTAAAGCCAGTAACTCACCCTTTTGTCTGTCTGACTTTTATTTTCCGGCTGCTGGGAAAGGGCCTAATTTAGAGAAAGAAGTTTCAGATATGATTCAGACTACTTTGGCTAAAACTTTTCTATAATGGTGAAACAGCCTCCCTAGAAATAACATGACAAGTTTTTTATAGGTGTTACTAAATGCCAAAGGATGAGAATTTTAGCCATAAAAACACTTGATGTTTGAACTGAGATTCTCTCTCAAGCTGTTGCAGACAATTAAAACCAAAGGGTGCCCTTTAAAAGGGGAAAAGCAATTTAGCTCATTAAAATGTCATTTTAGGTGTCAAGATGTTTCTGTGTGGTTCACTATGAAATACACCATTTCCACTTACCATATTATAATAAAAATTATGTATATTGAGGTATTTAATAAGGAATCATCTAGCAGAAAATATTTACTCCTGACAGTCATAGCCTGGCAACTTTCTCAGCAAGTTTCGTAGGCACAGAAATGGAGAGGATTGAAAGAGAGAATTTTGCTTTCATATAAAAGGTCATCAAATTCTCTGCTCAGTATCTTGCTGAGAGTTTATAGAGCATCACCTTTTGTCCCTGAACTATTATATCCCAAACCAGGAGATGCTGAAGAAACAGCTGACAAAATGTCATCCAGGGGCTTCCAACATGGCATGGCCACACAGAAACTAGAATGACACACACACCATCACCTAGAATCTGTTCAGGGGACAGCCTGAGAACTCAGAAAGCTAAGATAAAAACTATGCCAGTGTCTTTCTCTTGCAAAAGAACAAACAGTTCTGAATTTGCCCAAGAGATTTTGCCTCTTCACTTCTTCATATTGACTCATTTTCTGTTATTGCCTGTTGTCCAACTCCCTGCTCACATGAACAATTCCTACAAGACAGATTTTACTTTCCCTGACCCTAATCATAAGAAATGCCCTGGCTATGGCTAAACTTTATATTTCACATACAGAAAATGCATCTTCCATATTCTTACAGATGTCTGTGTGACTATGCAGAACTTTTCTATTGCAGGCAAGCATAACTTGTGAGAAGAACTCATCTGGAGATAACACTGCATGCATGATGTTGACCTCAGCATTTGGTAACCAAATTTTTGCAAACCAAATAATTTGTAAAACTGATAGTATTGCATGCTTTCAGAGACAGTTGAGATGTTTTTGGGTGCCAGATCCTTCACAGATGCAAAGCACAGGATGATGTAACAAGGAATTACCTCAATTCTCAGACCCAAATTGTACATCTCAGCACTTCTGAACCTTTTCTGGAATTCAAACACAAATCTAAATTGTAACTTTCACTCCTAACCTCCTACCAATAAAACACCAGATCTGAACAGCCTTGGTACATCCAGATACGCTTCATCCATCCTGGCATTATAGAATTAATGATGCTCCTGGTTAAGACTTCAGAACATTTGCTCATGTGTGGCACTCAAGGCCTGCCCAAAACCAGCAGTAACAGGCAGGCTAAAGAGCTCCAGCTTTTGAGGACACCTGCACCTTTCTGGTGTCTGCCTGGGGCTTGAGGAGGATAGGACCTGGGGATGGTCACAAGCCACCATCTGCATGTTTGTGAAGCCAAGCACAGGGCTGCCTGGCACAAAAGTCTCCAGAAGCCATAAGAGTCCTTGAAGTGGAACCTTCCCCCGGGACTGGGCTTACTGCCCTGCCTCTGGTAAGGTGAAGCCAGAGTGCAGCCCTGCCCCTTAGGAGATTCACTGGTGAAGTAAGCAGAATTCAATTTCCCTTGGATCTTACTGAGTTAGAGCAATCCTAAATTACCTGAAATTTTTCAAACATTGCTTTCTCATCCTTGATTTTCAGACAGATAATGAAATTAAAAAGATGATAAGAGTCATTTCAAGGGAAGTGAACCAGCAGACAGAACAAACTAAAAACTTCTTTCCTCCTCTGCACTAGTGGAATTTGGCTCATTCCTGCAAATCCAGCAGAGTCATTAGATATGCAAATATGTATACTCAAAATTTACATTCACACAGCCATGCTTCCATTCATAGCCATGGCAATCTTCAATTCTGGTGGCCAGATTGATTTTGAGTTGTCTTACTGTGCATAAAATCTCAGAAAGTATCAGGGAATGATACATGCATTTCTGTGTACGTAGACATTGGCATGCAATTCCAAAAGCCTGTGCCTGCATGACCTGTGGATGTCTGCATGATTGACTAGCTTTCAAGAGTCTCTGCAATCAACATCCATGCTTACCTTACCTATAAGCCTATAGTTTGAATTGCAAAAATATTTAGGATTTTGTGAAAGCTCAGGGAAAGCATTGCTGGTACAATCAGTGTATCTCATTTCCAGCATGCAAAATCTTCTATCTGCAATGGCCCACCCAGTAGCCCACAGGCTGACACTAAAAAGTTTAGTATGTTTTGCAATTCACATTAATTATTTTGCAGCATTTTCTTTGAAAATTTACTGTGAAGTCTAGACAGACACAATTTTATTTTTCATATCTATATGCCCAGACAACATAAAGGATTTTTTTAAAAATGCCCATAGTTTAGTTACATTTCACTTTAGTCTAGAAATGCAGAGAGCCCATGTTTAGTTTTCATCAATAAAAGGGATAGCAAATTTCCAACAGAGTACTTGAAAGGAAATAAACCAAATAATTCAAAATACTTGTTTAAAAAGTTACAAAATATGACAGCATTAATGGCACTTAAAGCTATAAGCACTTAAAAAATTACCACAATATTTTTTTCCTAAATTTTTTTTCTTTCTTTTTTTTTTTCTGAGATTATGACAGCAGCTTATGTCTAAATCAAACCCAAAAGAAAGCACAGAGCCCTGAGATTCTATGGTAGCCCTGGCCCTCATTTGAATCATGTATATGCTCTTATGTCTATTTTTAAAAATTCAGATTCAGCTAGAGAACAGCAGTTTGCTGACATGCAAAAGCTATAGCTTCCCTTCTGTCCTTGTAGTCTTACAGCATTAAAATAGAAGGGTTTTTTTTCAGTGATAGAAAATGTGAATGAGAAATTCTTTAAAAAAAAAAAAAGTTGGCCCACTGTTTTATACTTTTAGCCAAATATCATTAAATTGATGTTTCTTTTCTTTCAAACAATATGGCATGAGATGTTGTATTTTCTTCATATGCACTTTCTTGATGTGACTTTACATTTAATTTTCCTACATGAGAAAAAATACGTTTCTTTTCTTTTTTTTTTGTTTTTTTTCATTGCTCAAGATAAATACCCAAACAGTTTTTTATTTTGTTTTGTATTTTTCTTTTTTTTTCTTTTTTTTTTAATTAAAAGAGCAATCGTACCCTTACTTATGTCTGTGTTTATTTTCCAACCAGCACCCAGCTGCTGGCTGTGTCCATGGACATTCTTTTGGCATTTAGAAAGGTAATGCATCTGACTCAAATATAGGGGGAAAAAAATCTAGCTTGGATCACGTGCCAAAACGTAAACTAAGCCTTACTGAAAGTTTCTAGTTCACTCCAATCATTTCTCCTCTTTTTAATCACCAGGGGAAGGCTTTATGGATGCATACTCCATTATAAAGATACATTGTTTTTCATTCCATTCATAGGCTCTTCTTGCATAGCTGCCCTTTGTCTAATATCACACCATGGTAGGAGCCCTCTGGTGATACTGCCATGGTTCAATCCCTTCCTTTGTGTCTTGCCCTGGTAATCTTATACAGGCTGAAATTTCCATGTGCGTAGCTTTCTGTTGCCATTCTCCAGTGCTGTGTTCCTGATTTGTTTTGGCAGAGCAAGCTTGAGTCTTTATGGCACAGTGAAATATTCTTCGATGCTATATAATTCAGACTGAATAAGGAGTCTGTATAAGGCACGTGTCTCAATATATATGTATATAAAAACACCAACATTGTTAATTCAAGTCAAGCATCTTTTACATTTATCTTCTGTCTTAAAGTAACACTTTGTTTTTATGCTCCCTTTCTTTGGCTTCATTGGGAATCACTCCGTTTTCCATGTCTGAGTGCTGCTGGATGCACTTGGTCAGAACTGCAGTGCTAGAAGTGTTCTTGGAATTATGCATCTTCTCTGTCCCCTCCTCCTTTTTTTCTTCATCCAGGGAATAGTTTCTGAAGGTCTCATAAATTTTATGCATATCCTCAGGCATGGTCTTTTTGAGATCTTTGTTTTTCCGTTTGGTCATCTTAGCAGACGATCCAAATTTGTTAATGATGTTGTCCTCAGATGCCCCCTGCCCGTGCTTGTTGAGCTTATCTGACCCTTTAAGGCGCAGGTTGTTAGGCCTGTTGTTGATGCTTTCCTGAGAGGAGGCCTTGAAGCGTCCTGTTTCCAAGGTAGCAAAGACAGAGCGCTTCTCTGGAGAGAGCATGTCTAAGGAGTGGGCTCGCTGGTCCAGGCCCAGGCGTCTGCGCTCCATGCTCCGGATGGTAGCTGCCCTTTGAAGTTTGTCATGGATCTCCACACTGAGCCGCCTCCGTGTCTCTCTGAACTCAGCTGTCACGTTTGCTTTCCACTCTGCTGCGTGGGCTTTTATTTCTCCAACCTTTAGAAACATGAAGAAAGAGAAATTAACTTTTCAAGAAAAAGGAAAATCTTTCCTGTAGAACACAGCACAAGTGCTTTCTTCTCTGGCATGAAACTGAGGAGTTGTCCCATCTCCACTGCATCCATCTGCACCCAGACTACAGAAGCAAAGGGCTTACACTGGGCAAACTCTGAACACACCAACTGATGGCTTTTGTGGCATAGAACTCATCTGTCTGTCACTTTACCACTCCACACATTTCATAGCTGTGTTACATGATGGGACATGTTCATGCTAATCCATCTTTGATTAAGAACAAAATTCCTGACTCATAATGTCAGCAGTAGATGGTCAAGAGTGGGCAAAGTTAATCACTTATAGTTAAACCAATACACTTCAGAACAGCACAACAACCAGTGCAGCAGTACAGGAATGTGTTTTCCTGTATTGCTCATGGATGCAGCTGTTAAGTCCCACTGAAGGTTCTCTTCAGAGCCACAGAGTCACAGAATAGATAATGTTAAATACTCATTAGGTAATTTCAAGTGGTCTTCTAACTCCTCCAGAATGGGGTTCATTTTGAGGGACAAGCGTAGCTGTCTTTAATGGAAGTTTCCATTGCACAACTGTCCAAATGCCACGCTGTCAAGCCATCTGGAGGAGTTTTGAACACACATTCTGTATGAGCATATACTTGAATGTCCTACTGTCTTTCTCTGTTTTACTCCTTTGCACTGCAGGCTGGAATAATGGCTAAGAATAAATCACCAAATGATGGCTGTATTCAATAAACATGCCTATAAACATTCTCATAAAATGAGAAATTCATGATAAATGACCAAGCAATATTTCAGTTAAAACAGTTCTTTCTCAAGATCTGTTTGATCTGTGTGCTCAAAGTTCAGCTTTGAGAAAGCTGAAAGAAAGCCATGGTCAATGGTTTGCTTGTGCTGCTGCAGCCTGAACTCAAATTTTTGCATCCAATAACCCACAAGGAGTCATCTTTTTTCTGCAGGCCAGATGCGCAGGTGTCCATTTAGCACTGTGGCAGAAGGCATCTTGCATCCATGTGGGAGACCAGATTCCCTGCTGTAGGTGCCTGATGATCAATGGAACAGCCACAATCCCTGCAGTCACCCTTATTAATGACATGCATGGGGGATGCACCAGGCCTTGGGTTGTGCAGATGCCTTCAAAAATTAGAAACAGCACTATACACCTGCCAAATTTTGCCTGCTATTTTGTTAACCCTGCCAGGTAAGCTTTATATGTATGTATGTATGTATATATATATATATTGGTTGCTTCTCTCGCTTTTTCTCTTATTTTTATCTTCCTTTGTGAAGGAGCTAAAGTTCAGAGTTAACTGTACACCAAAGGCAGTCAGTGAAGGGCATATTGAGCATTATTGATGCAGGGCAGCGTTCTTAGTTAGATAAGCAGGATTCAGGCACTTAAATCTCTCTTGTAAAATGACAAACCACTGAGAAATTACTGATCATACCTCTTCTTGTGTCTTCTTGGACAGGACTCTTAACCAGTCTCCAATCATACTCAGGACAGCAGCAAAGTAGGCAAGGCCGACAAGGATCCAGAACCACACTAAGGGCTTATACCACTCCTTGTATTTGATATCAGCATTTCCTCCTGAAATAAGCATATACTTATGCTTACAAATCATGAGGTTCCAAAATTACTACAAAATATCTGCAATTCTGAAAAATGCCTAGAAGTATTTCTTAACTCTTGTCAACAGCACTGTAGTTCTGATAATAAGACAAGAAGCTGGTCAGATGAGAGGAACCCAATCTGTTTTAATTTAAAAGTCTTCAAAACTACCTGTTGTTCTGCTGCTATCTGACCTGCCAGAACATCCAGTAAACACTTTCCTTTGTATTGCTCATATGCTGAGGCAGCTCTGAAATTCTACTTTAATAGTACTTGCAACAGCACAAACACATGTCCAAGAAAAAGGTTTAATACAGCTAGTCTGCCTTATTCTGAACTGCCTGGAGCCTCACAGTTGAGAAAATTTACAAATCAACCTTCTTATGTTGTAGAGTTTCCAGACTTTTTTGGGTTTAGCTGCAGGATTGAGAGATCTGTGTGCAGAAAAAAGAAATGTAGCTTTGTCTTCCAAATCAGGATGTCTGACAGGAAGCCATGCATTAGCCCTGAAAATAAGGCTATGCAGTCTGCTTGGGTATCATTCAGAGGGATTCATTCTCTGGTCAGTGACTTCATAAGAGATATGGATCAAACCAAGCAACAAATATACTATATTGTTCTTTATGCAAGTCTTCGGATGAGCTGGCAAAACAAGAAGTGAGCCATTTGGCAAACTTATGGACTACAAAGTAAGTAGCAGCCAGGTTGCTGGTTACTACAGAGTAAAATAAAGAAATTTTTAAAAAAGAAAGCAAAGACAACCTCACCTTTTAGGCTCTCAGTCCCCTCACAGTGTTATGTGCACTGCAAGAATGAGAGGCAGTAAGAGGCAGGCACAGCCCTGAGTGGAAGAGAACGAGCAGCAAAGAGCCTGAAGAGCCCCATGGGCACTGCCATATCCCTCAATGCAAGTGAACATCACCTTGGTGGTAGCTGTGTAAACCCCTGCCCGAAAAGCAAGCCTACCAGGAGACTCAGGCAGAGGTCTGCATATTTCCTGGACTCCAGCCTTGCTTAGAAAGAGCTAGACATCTATACCTCTGTATGACTGCAGAGAGATTTTAGGGTTTTTCCCTGTTAAAATCACCAGACAACACAGTTCAGCATTTTCCCTTTTGCTTTTCACAATCTGAGACACTTCTCTGACTCTTTAATTTTATCAGCTCAATACGAGTGTAGTTACAGCGTTTGAACACCCCCGTGGAAGGTCAGACATTTGAGAATTGGCAGGAACCCAAATATAGGTTTTGATGTTAATCTCTCCCCATAGACTGCAGGAATCACACTCTTTTTTTCCAGTCTTTAAGAGTCTGAAACAATGGGAAGTAGGGACTGCTGTTGCTATGGTAGAAGAAGCCTCTTCTGATCATACATGTCCCTGAGGAAGCTCACTAGGAAACAGATTGTCTAGATCTATCTTGCAGAGTAATCAGGTGACTGGGAAAGTATGAGACCACTTTTTTCAGCCTATCAGATACTCTGTTTTTTTCTGGCCCCATGCACAATTTTATTTCCAACTGTAGTACAAAAATCTTCCAGTTTCCCAAGAGCTGGGATTTGTTTTAGGTGGAATAAGCCAGCATAGCTCCACTGACTGTTTCAACCATTAAGATATAGTATTTTTGATTTGCTGTTGAAGGAACAGAGATACTAAGAGATTAAAGCGGCAGAAAATCTCTCTCAAAACCAGCAATAAACCCCAGATCTCCTGGTGATCACCTGCCTTAAACTCTTATCATGAAAATGCCTCTGAAGTTGCCTTATTCAGGATCTTCCATATGATTTTTGAGGAATCCTGCTTGTTAGTAGCCACCCAGCTGTGGATTATATTCTCCTAATCATGTGAATATAGAACAATTTAATATTCAGAGCTTTTTTACAATCACATTATTAAACAATACTGAAATGTGCTATTATTAAGAAAAATATTGTAAATTATTTTTATTTCCCACTGTGATACCTCAAAGCATATCAGTGAATCCCTTTACACTAAGTGGTTAAAATGGAGCAAGCTCACACAATGACTTCTGTAGCTAAATGCTCGTAAAACTTTCTTTTTTATATCTAGGTCTTTCTTTGTTCAATGACTTTTTTTCCTCAATAATTCATGTCTTCTATGCCAGTATGTCATAAAAAAGGAGGACAAGTCTTCTTTACAAAAGAGACTTGTCTCTGGTTCTTCAACAAAGAAAATTTTGTAGTTTTATTTGATTTTTTTTAACTCATTCTGTTTATAGGTATGAAGAAGTACAATATGACTGTTTTTAACACAGGAAACTTAATACCTTTAATTAGGACCACTAACATGAATGAGAACTAGAGGTCAGGCACTGATGGGAAAAAATCCACTTATTTTAACCACCTTTTTTGTTAGCAAAGCAGTTGTGTGGAAAAAATAAAAAATTACCTCTCACCTCCCCAGCCAACTATCTCAATTCCCTCTTTGGAAATTGTATATGGGTAGATATTTGTAGTTCCAGCTCATACTGTATTAATCTCCTCCAAGCACTGAGATACATACCCCATTAGTCCTTCTCTCCTACAAGAGTTTTTCTTAACAGGGCAACTGCAATGTCAAAACTTCTGCCAAGGTTAGGAAACAGAATGCAATTTTTGAAATGCTACAGCTCCTGTAGCAGCAGCCCGCTACTCCATCTGACCAGAGAATTCTACAGACCTATTGCTCAGTCGTCCTTTGTAAGAGCTTCCTCCATTCATCATTTGACTTGCCCCTTCAGTCATCCTCAGACTGAGCAGTAATGGACTAATACAAATCTTTAATTCAATGGGAAAGTAATTTTACTTTCACATAATTCATTGCATGATAAAGGATAATCAGGACTTTCCAGGCTCCCGTTATCTACACTGCTGAAGGCTCACAATCTACAGATGGCAAGGCACCTAGACCTTAAATCAGCCTGATGTTGTACTGCACAGTAATCCCAACAGAAACACCTGGCATCATTTCACTGGAATATAACATACTGTGTAGAGCCTCCTCTCTATACCAGAAAACAAATTCTGAGAGCCAAGGTCTTTGTGCACCTTGAGCACCTTGGCTCAAAACTGCTCACCTGCTACAAAGTCACCGAAGCCAACAGTGGTCAGGGTAACAACTACAAAGTAAATGGACTCCAAGGCTGTCCATCCCTCGATGTATTTGAAGATAAAGGCAGGAATGGTCACAAAGACGATGCAGCCTGCCAGGATGAAGGCGATGGTGGAGATCACCCGGATCTTTGTTTGACTCACTTGTTTATTCTAGAAAAAGGAAATAACAGGAAGAAAAATGTTTGAGTGGCTTTCTGGAACTGTATCCTTTGTGAACAATGCACTGATTATGCTGGTGTCACCTGGTATGTCCTTTTCTGCCTTTTGTGAGCTGGTTGGGTGAAATACAACCCTCTCTCCCTGTTAATGAGAGTCCTGTCCAGATAATAGTACACCCCCATGTGTGGCCCCAGTTTATCATGGTTCCCATTTTCCGTGCACTAGGAAGTGACTAATTTACCAGAAACACCACCTGGAAAAACATTCCTGAGCTTCAGAAAGTTATCAATATGCTCCATATCAGGTTCAATGCTTAAGAAAAAGTAAACATTCACACATCCGTGCAAGTATGTGTACACTCACATTGCCTCCCCAGCACCAAGCATTCAACAAAGACGACCAAGATTAAAATGAAAATAAACCCCTTTTCCCCCACTGAAAAGTTGCAATTTTATGTAGAAATAATTCATGTTTTGGATTTTCTAGACCCAGGATTTCCAGCTTTCATTCACAAATATAAAGGTTAAATCTCCTTTTTAAAAATAGAAAGCTATATTATTGGTTTACTCCAGAAAATAAAAAAGGATTTATGTCAAATACCAAAGAGCACGAAATAAAATTACCTACATAAATCCACACTGGAAAGCTCTTGAACAAAGAGTATATCTTACTGGCTTCTATAAACTGAATTCAAATCTAGTCAGTGTAATTGTAATATTTTACACTACTAAATCATATAAACTCTCAATATATTTAATATATACTTAGATTTTGCTTCTATTAATATTGATGCAAGACTGGATTAACACAATTTGATCTGACAGATTTATTTCAGATTTTCTCTGCTGTGAATAAACTCAGCATCCAATAAAGTTTCATGAGAAACCTGTAAATTACTAGAAACCTTACTGTGGATTAATTTCAGTACCAGCGTAAATTCTGTATTTACCCTGGAAAAGCAATGTGGAGGTAAGGCATATTTCCAAATTAGTTTTCCAAACCAAGCATCTCCCTTAACCCAAAAATGAGATCTCATTTCAGATTAAGGCATTGCCTAGACAGGAAATAAGATCTCAGAAGTTATCTTTGTAATATACAGAAGGGATATTGCCTGAACAGGTTCATACCTAACCAGCTTGGGAGCAATACTGTGCTTCCCCTAAAATGAGAGCATTTCTTCTAGAGGTGGAGTGTCAGACCCTCGTTAAGTACTCCGCTGATCTGGGATGCATTCAGAAGCAGGTAGCATAAAATGCCATGTTGCATAGATACTTTTAGTTCTAAAACTGTTTAAGATGATCCCTACACTTAATATTTTATTTGTGTGTGAGCACACTATTTTCTGTGTCTGGATGAATAGAAATAGCTCCATAAGATTAGTAATCTAATGCCAAATATAAGACATGGAAGAAACTGCCAAGTAGCAAGAGGAAAAGCAAAACAAAAATATAAAATCGGAATTAATTCCTTATTGCCTCTTTTTCCAAAGAGCCATTTTGAGTATTTTGCTAAAACACCAAAGGACAATCCATCTTATTTAAGAAGTATGAACACACATTCACAATGGCATGACTTCAGACTTATTGAAAGGAAAGTGAAAGGAAAAGAACAGATCACATGGATGTTACATATCCTACATTGTCACCCTTGCCTTTTGTTGTTGAGAATGAGGATTTAACCAAATTGACATCTATTTTCTAGTCTGACCAAGGCAACTTGTTTACTTCTACTAAATGCTTCAGTTTCCTGAAGTTATGCATAGTAATTCTTCCTCCAGTCCCCACATAGCAAAAATTAAAATGCATTTCAATATGAGTCAGAATTGTCTCATGAGAGAGACAGGAACAAAAATAATTGCCTTAAAATCAGTAAAAAATGTTCAGGACATCCCCTTGTCCATGAGTAATAAACTCAGCCAAGGGTTGTTGGTTTTTTTAAGTAAAAATCGTAACAATGTTAATGAAAGGATCTGTAAAAGGCTGGACTCATGGTTATTGTGCACCTTTGTCACTCACACAAAAGCAGAGCAGCTGAGGATACAAATGAAGGCAGAAAGCAATGGTGAAATCAGGAACAGCATTTTTAGAGCAGCTGAAAAGAGCACAAAAGCAGGACTCAGAAAAATAATTACTTAATGAACAATAACACATGAAATGCAGGACAGACGTGAAAAGGGGGGTCTTTTTACAGTTAGGCATGCATTCAGAGGAAATTCACAGTACAGTCTAACTGCTAAAGATGAAAAAAATGCAAAGGCATAATTGTACTTAACTAATGGAATATGTACATTGTAATAATGTCATACTACAAAAATGTAATCGACTCCAGTGGTACACCAAGCCATTAAATAAATAAATAAATAAATAAATAAATAAAATAATCACTCTATATAACACTAAAGGTTGAGAAGTCTGAGTAAGTTTAAACAAATTTCTCTTTTAAACAGTATTTTCAGCTTGGAGCCAAACATTATCAAATAGCTGAGCACGTTCTGCCAAGCTAAGAAATCATCTGAACCCATTTTGTGGTTGAATGAACACAGAATTTTCTATAAGTATCGTAAAGAAATAATAAGAAAGCCCTTCCTCCAGGAAAGGTAGCTAATCTTATAGCTGTTCAAGTAAAATTAGAACACCTTTAAAAGAGATATTTTCCTCTCTTTTTCTTTTTAAGTTTGTTTACCCACAAGTTCTTTCCACAGTGATGAAGCAGATAATTTGTAAAACATTCTTCAAATATAAATAAATTAGTGCCTGCTAATGAGACCAATTTAATTCCACCTAGAGCTAATCTGTAAAACATCAAAGAAGTAATCTAAGAATCTAAGAACTGAGAGTTTTCTGTGAACCCATCAAGGTCATTTCCATTTTCCAATGACAGTGCTGATTTTACTCTTAAGGTGGCTAAGTGCTAAACTGGCAACATTACTGATGGCATTTTGCTTACATGAATTCAAACAACCTACAGTCAATCTTCTGTAGTGCCAAGAGGGGTAAAGACAGACAGTAATGAGTGCACCCTTATCACTGGAATTTAGTTCTTATCCATCTTTTCCATCATTTACTGCAGCTTTGTTTTTTCCTCATTTCCTATTATATATACAGGGGTTTTAGTAATTTTGGTATTACCTAGTAATTTCAGGACTTAAAATAAACCTTGAGTTTTTTACTTTCTTTTTTCTCTCTCTGGCCCAATAGATCAAAGCCAGTGTCGTGGATTATTTTATGTCTCCTGCTTTCCTCAGGTGAATTAACTGAGGTACAATTTTTCTGACCTGATGGCTGACAATAAAAGCACCAAACAGTGCTTTTAAGTTTGCAAACTGAGACTACAGGGTTGATATATATTCCTAGGAAAAAGGAGCATGAGGCATTAAGGAGGAAATCAAAAGAAGCTACAGTCATTTATCAGACTAGAGTAAATGCTAAATATGTAGAACATATATGTTTCCATGAACAGCATATTTCATATGAGCTTATTCCAAGATTCTGTAGTGTCACCTTGCATTTCATAGAAAGCTTCCCCAGTATACAGCACCAGTAAACCAAAAATAGCACTGGAACACTTGCTGCTTCACAGTGAGTTCAGATGGTTTTTCCATCTTCCAAACTCTTCCTTCTCTGAATTCCTGACAAATCTCCCCAAGGCTCTGGGCAAGCTGGCTACCTTTTTGGCTAGATAACCAATGGGAATTTTTTAGGGATAATGTAATATACCTGCATGGAAAATGCTGTCCTCACCTCTCCAAAAGGCTCTGTACTTTGGAGCAGAGAAAACACATTTCAAACAAAACACATTTCTTTAATATTTCTTTTGTTCCCTTCACTTACTCTTAACTTTGTGTCCTTCCCCATGCTGCCAGCTATTCTCAGAACAGATTGTCTCTGCCCATGCACTAATTAAACAGCTTGTCTTCTAAATCACTTTCTCCTGACCAAAATATTTTAACACTAGGAATGACAGTCTTTGTACTAAAGCCATAAACCAGAATATCACATATATCATCTGACAAACATTTGATATGTCCTTAGTCAAAATACGTTTGCAAAGCTAGTGTAGATGGAGCAGGCAGTCATAGGTTCATGCTGCTTGTCTTTCAGCTTAGCCAAATGCAATCCAGTCCTGGTCCAGAGCCTGGCACACTCCTCAAAAGGTGGCCTGGCCCTTCTCAACAGGCTATGTGGAAAGACTGGCACAGCACTGGCTCACAGAGCATCTTGGGTGATTTGGTCACATCAACCTCCTTGCTGCCTGTAACAGTCACTGTGGATTTCATCTTAACTTGTCCTAGCTCCTTCGTGTCCAAAATGAGACTGAAACTAAATGTATTTTAAATATCAGTGACTTGGACATAACACCTAAGAACAATATAAGAATGTTTTGTTCTTTGTTCTCTGACACTGCTGGCTCCTGTCAACTCCCACCTCAGGGCACTGCTGAACCACTGAAATGACATGGTGGCACCTCTGGGAAAGTGTGTTTAAGAAAGGGCAGGAATGCTGGACAGGCAGAAGACAATGAAACACAGAGAACAAAGGAATAACAAGGTCAGGTGAGTGGTAGCTTCTCCATGGCAATGCAGGTACTACAGGGTCTGCAGCCCATGGAGGACCAGCAAAGGAACAGAGGAGAAGAGTTAAGAACAGCAGAGAAACCACTGTGTTCTGACCCAACCCCTGTGTCGTTTGCTGCTGCACCAGCAGGACTGAACATGACCCACAGTAACATGGGTGGAGGAGAGGTTTCTGCAGTGAAGTGAGCCTAGGAGTGAAGCAGAGCTTGCAAAATGGGGAAGAAAGGCATTTTAAACTTTTGTGAGGATTTTGTTTCCAAACATTCAACTCAGTAATAAAGTTTTTATGCTAATTGTCAATAAATTCATTTAAATTACACAAGTTTGTTTTGCCTGTAAGAGTAGACGGTAAGTGACTTTGCTGTCTTTATGTTGACCCACAAGGTTTCTCAGAGAGCACTCTATTGTTCTTTCCATG